TCAAGCGTTAACGTGAAATCAACATTTTAACCTATTTAGACCTGAAATCAACATCATTGAGCTTATGCGCTGCGTGAAATTGACGTTTTGCTGGTTTCTAAGTGAAACCAACATCCTTGCCGTCACGCGTTAACGTCAAATCAACATTTTAACTTATTTAGACCTGAAATCAACATCATTGAGCTTATGCGCTGTGTGAAATTGACATTTTGCTGGTTTCTAAGACTCAAAATCAACATTTTTGAGCTTATATGTTGCGTGAAGTTGACATTTTGTGTTCTAAGTCCTTGCGGTCGCGGCAGGCCGATCCTTTGTTATAATAAACCAAGGCAAGACTTCGACTTATAACAAAGGCTTGGCTTGGCTAGGCTATTATAACAAAGGATCGGCTCTGTTTATTTGAAGGACTTGGCGGGAAAAGGGCGTTAGGTATTTTAATCAAAAGTGAACTTTGTCCAAAACGCTCCAAATTTCGCATGCAGTTTTGTTTAGGTATGTTTAGCATTGTCCCGTACTTTTTCCGTTAAGCTACACTTCGTTTACGAGGTATCACGTATGCAAAAAACCACTCGGTTTTCCGAGCGGCGTCTTTATAAAACAAAGCAAAAACCAGCGGCAAAAATACAGGACCACGTTTTCCTATTACATTGAAGACGACATGCAAAAATTCAAGCCCCTTCGCGAAAATTTTTTTTTCACCCAAATCATTACTTAGCATGGTTTTGCACTCACCCCTTCAATTATGACTTGCCTTCTGCTTGTGGTTGTGTCTTGATAGTGATGGTAAACTCTTATTTATGCTGTCATGTTATCTTGTGTCAAGATGATCAGTGAAAGATTGTTACAAACAGTGTCAAATGGCAACAACTGGTAACAGGCATGGTTTAAAGATTGTAACTACTGATAGCATAGTTAGAGGGAGTTATATCAGTTAGTTGGAGAAGAAAGGATTACTCACTCAATAAGTCAGTCGGTCAGTCTTGGGTCGTAAACTTCTTTTGGTGGTGATTCCTCTGACCAGTGTATATTTTAAATGTGTACATCGCAGCAATAAATTGACAAGATTGAAAGAAAAAATGAACTGCACTGACTGACCAAATGACTCACCAACCAAGTGACCTACTGACCAAGTGACCAACTAACAAAATGAATGAATGACTAAATTTTTTTTAAAGAAATTTGTTGAAATGTTGCAAAAATGACTTTTATTACTTTTCCTCAGCAGCCCAGTATGTTGCAACCCTGATATTAATTAGGCAAACTGCACTTTCTATCAGTGTGCGTGTTTTGGATGAAAATCATGCAGGGCTTTTTTCTATATTTAGGCTCTTCCTTACTATCCTTCACCAAACATGCTTGCCACTTGGCCCCCTGCACACCATATTTATCAAGAACCTAGTATGGTAAGTTTTGTTGTTGCTATTGTTGTTATAACTTTGAGCTCAGAGAGTGGGAGGAACAGACCAGAACTCATTTCTGGCCAGTCGATTAAAAGGCTGCATATGTTATATGCAGCATGCTGTGTTTCTTTGAGAAAAAAAATCATAATTTTTCCAATTAGAGGAATTTTTAGTATCCCAATCATTTGCAAATTGGACAAGCATGTAATCCTCATACTAATTTATTATGTTGTGTATTGAACTGTCCAAATTACTTGTTAATTTGGTTGGCATCCAAATTTAGAATGAAATTTGACAGTTTGCAAAATTAACAAATAATAATTATTGTAAGCTTGCTTGTAAGGTGTGAGTTTGTAATGTACCTGTTGATTGTGAAGAATGCAAGTGAATATACAAGAGAAAAGATTATATGTTTGAACCGACAACATGACCAGCTCTCAGTTGACTTGATAGTGCAGTTAGTAGAATGTAGAGATCATGGTTCAAATCCCATTCAAGCCTGACTTTGTTTAAGATTTTTATCTCACAGCTGCTTAAGTTGCGTCAATGACTGCAATGATCATTCATTTCTTTTCATCTTTCTCTGAAGTTCTTGTATATGATTTTTCATATATTCACTTGCATCCTTCACCATCAACAGGTATATCTTTTTAAACAAGCTTTTTAGCTCTTTTAATTTTTAGATTATTTTTTTATTTTTTTTTCCCCTCCCCTTTTTTTAGCTTTTTAAATATTTTTTTATTTAATGTAAAGCGCCATGGACAAATAGTGGATTGGCGCTATATAAATATATTTTCTATTATTATTATTATTATTATTATTATTATTATTATTATTATTATTATTATTATTATTATTATATTATATTATATTATGTTCTCACAATGTCACCAACTCCCAGTTGGCTTGATAGCTCAGTTGGTAGAGAATTGGTAGAGCATTGTTCATTGGTCACGGGCATTTGAAAATTTAGTGTTGGTTGCAGTGAAATAACAATCAGTGATATATGTTTATATGCTTGTGTGATATGAACAGATAGTGATTCCCATAAAAATGTAAGTAAAAAGGTTTGTGACCTGTCACAAGGGTACTTAAAAACAGTAAGTTGTACAGTATCTCAATTAAAACACTTTTAAAATTCCTTGAAATCGATGCGTGATCCTGACGCATTATGTCAAGTTAGCCTTCAAATACTCTTTTCGGGTTCACGGGAATATTTTCTTGTGTGATATTCATTGTTGGCTTCAAACATCTTCATGGCTTAAGTTTCATTTAACCCTTAGAATTCAAGTAAAAATTTGCCTTTGACTATTGACTACTCTTCTAGTTTGGCTATCAACAGTTAAGTTACAAGATAATGGAGTTTACTGATCAAATGTAGGGGATTTAAACCTTGTGTTCTTAGAATAAGAAGGATTTATCTGTGAATCTTCTTGTTGATTTAAACTTGGTATTCGAAGTAATATATTAAACAGGGGAGACTGTGTTTCATGAGGATATCCAAACACTGAGAAGAGAGTTGAAAATATGGCACGCAGCAGCTTGATGAAATTCAAGGTGTTTGGATAGCTGATGAAACAGTCTGTCTCAAGTGTTTGATATTTCCTCTCAATCGAGACCAAAGCTAAGGAGTAAATGGAGAAGGAAAATCATCAACATCTATGCTTATTTGAGACCGAGTATCCAAACCCCCTTTATGGTTGTGATTTTCTTTGTTCTAATTATTGATGAGTTTGAGAATGTTACTTGTGGCGCACAAGCGGGAAAAAGGGTTATATAAAGTATTTAATGAACTTTGTTTGCTCTTTGCTTTTAGCCCTCAGGTTACCCAAATGGCTTCTCTCCTGGAGCACTGACTCCACTTTGTAAGTGTGAATTTGCTCTGTTCATGAATACAGAACTGTGCAATTTAAGTAATACAAACAAAATTTGTTGAATTTCTTTCTTGTTGTATGCAAACGTTCTGCACAATAATTTTATTTGAGCAAGATTGAAACTTAATTTCCACTTCATAAACGATGATCTGCATAGAGAAACAAATTCAGTTGGACAACTGAACTGAAAACTTGGACAATTGAACATAATCTCAGTAAAGATATAACGTGTGGTTCCAGAAAATATCCATATCCCTCTATGGAGAGTTTTTTGTTTTTTCTAGTTTGACCCCCCACCCCCTAGGATTTTCTTTCCAGGGGGCTTCACAGTACTTCCCCCACCCGCTGGAATTTCCATGATTTTTCTACTTGGATCCTCCTACCCCATGGAAACCTTAAAGTTGACAGTGTTTGGACTTGAACATTCATTGGGAAAGAAATTATCTTTCCTGATAGAGAAGCATTTGACCCAAAATGTGTAAAGCATGTTAAGAAAGTAGATTCTGTCCTTTGCTTGTCTGATGGGCAAGTAGTAATGGTTTTGGGGGACTTTTGGGGGAAATTCAAATAACAGAAGTTATGTAAAGGTTGAAATTATTGTTAAAAGTATTCATTTAATTTTAAATTAATTATTCATGCTAACTAGTAAGAAATTGTTTCGGAGAGAGTATCGTTCCACTTTAACTTTCAGTGGTCTCCTAGAAATTTTACAATAAGTCAAACAGTACATACTTGAAACTCCTTATCAAAGTTTGCTAAAATTTGTTTTCCTTGGTATATAGTGTTTTTATTTTAATTCTCTAAGTTCATATGCACTACTTTTCCACTGTACTGTAAATGATACAAAAGACCCTGCTGTTAAACCCTGCCAAACACCCACTTTAAATGGACAGTTTTGTTCATCCCAACAAAAGCTCATAAATGTCCTCTTACATTAACTTTCCTAATATGAACACCAGTTAATTTGGACAATGGCTGCTTTCCTATAATCAGATTGAAACACTCGTGCCAAGTTAGCCTTGCTTTAGGGAAACAAGTGTTCTAGGCATTGTATTTTTTCTTTTGTTACAGTTATTTTCCAATTGTACCCTGTTGGAAAATGAAAACCTTCAAAACTGACTAGAGAACATTAACTTTGAGTATGAGACATTTGACTGTTTGAATGAGGGTTAGGTTTCTTGACTTTGAACTCAAATTTCAGTCAGGGCATTGAACATTGTTCTGTTACTTTAGAATTGTAGTTCTAGCTTTATATTGACAGAAATGTGTCTGTGAGGCCTACTGCTCTTTATACCATTTTTGCAATGCTGTGAAATGACAAGTAGCCACTTAATATATGATACTTTCCTGTGCAGCTCCTGGGAATGCCGGACACAACAGTTTCCATGGAAATAGCAGACCAAGGTATTTGGAAAGATCAACATTAATTAAATTAATTAATTATTATAACATTATAAAAACCATGCAATGGCTGAGCAATATTCAATTTTATTTTCTTATACTTGAAAATTGGGATAAACGCTGCAACTAGTTTGCTTTGTTTCATATGGGTGTGAGGAAACAAGAATATTCCATTAGTAAAGGTGTTTTTTGGGAAGTTTGCCAAAATTAAAGAATGCTCATACATCTTAAACCTCAGTAGAGACAGGCCAAAAGGTTATTGGTTAGGAAATTCCCATCAAAATCATGAAACTCTAGATATAAAGAAGCTATGATAAATGAGCTACTCAAAATATTAGGAATCGTTTTCTGTTATGTTCAGCATTAGAATGTTGAGAATTGAGTTTGGATTCATTGATGTGCCAAACACAAAAAACTGTGAGGTGATGCCAGAAGTGTTATACATGTATCATGTTATACAATAAAATTAAATCTTGTGCAAGTAAGGTAAGGTAAGGTAAGTCAAGTCACTTCTATGTCAGCACAATTATAGCATTTCTTGAGAAAGCAAAGAAGGCCAAAATATAAGGGATTAAAAGTGGTTAAGTCTTATGCTCAAGCCTTTTGGTCAGCACCACCAGCGACCTCTGGTCAGGCATGATAGTTTTTTTAGTGTGCACAGAGTTCTTATTTTCATCATGTTAGCCAATCAGATTTGAACTGAGTAAACTGTGTCTGTGCAGAACATGTGGAAGTCTATGAGTCACAAACCTTCAAATCAGACCTGGGGCCCATTTCCCAAAAGCCCCAAAAACTTTTTGAGCCCTCAAAACCATTTTTAGTTAATCTGTGTCTAAATACAGAAAGGCGTATTCGCCTGAAACTTATTGTATGAAGAAAACCTCTGTTCATATTACTTACATGTTAAGAATATGTGAATAAAACAGCTATCTAATCACAAGGTCTGAGATTTTGCTACGGCTTTCCCAGGGGGAAAACTTTTTGGGAACTTCGAGAAATGGGCCCCTGGCCTTAGATCATGATTCTTGATGCTATCATTATAAGGAATGCAGCCTCTGGGTACAATAATGGTTTAAATTGTTATGTGCTGTAAAACTTTGGCTTCCTTTATTGTTTATGATGTGAAGGTTTCAGAATAAACAAGTACATCACCGCGAGCAGCAAACAGAAAGGGTAGATAGAGATGGCCAGAGGGGTCGGCCCCAGAATGCTGCCAGCAGTGGTTCAAGTAATGGCGCCTCTGTAAATAGTGTAAATAACAGAGTCTCTGGATTTTCAAGAACAAGAGATGCCAGAGATGGAGATGAGTATACAAGGTCAGAACAACACTTACATGGGAATCTTGATGAAGAACCATTGTATTATCATTTCCATGACTGATATCACATTTAAAGCCTCTAAAATCCACTTCATATACTTTGGATACACAAAGTAGCCTTGTCAGCTTAAGGGCCTTGTGTTGCCTTTGAGCTCTGTGCCATGGGCTCTCTCTGACCTTTCAGCAATCACCCTATCCTGAATGACATAAATCATTGAAGTTTGTGGAATTGTAGTTTTGTAATTTTTGCTCAGCCAATCGACCAATTTTGATATATCAAAATCCAGCCTAACACAATAGACCTCAGTACAAGGCTCTGGGGAATAACTACAGCGTTTGTGGGTTTATTCCCCAGAGCCTTGTGCTGAGGTCTATTGTGTTAGGCTTAATTTTAATAAATCGAAATTGGTCTATTCTCCATATTCTGTCTTTTTGTGTTGTAATGTTTTTCCATTTACACTCCAGGCGTACTGGACGGAATAGAAGAAGAAGAGGCAGCAGTGAAGATGTTAGTAAACATTTGGTATGTTAGTGCATAATATGGTTAGTGTTTGTCTATGAAGGTGATTCCAGTTATGACTGTTAGTCTAATTTATGTTGTTGTTGTTGTTTCTTTTTTCAAATTTAAGCGCCAAAGGGAAGGAAAAGCAAGCCCATTGAGACACAGTAAAGATGACAGTGATACAATAGACTTAGCACCATCTCATTTTCCACCTCTACCAACATCTCCTCTTCCTCTGTTTGTAAGTATATTAGCATATGGTTGGCATCTTTGATTGGAGGCCATCCCACGTCTTTACGAACTAGACAGTACCATCCCATGAAATTCACACATTTAAGGTGGTTCGATACAGTTTTTTTCTGGACCATACCTAGCATTTTCAATTGGCGTTTTACATGTACCAACCCTCCCTGTCTCTTATCGATGTGGAAATTGCATCCGTTTTTCGAAAAAAAGATATGATGTTTGGTTGAATGTGTTTTTTAAGGTAATCAACAATTTCATGGAACCGATAAACCAAAAATATGAAAATCGGTGAAGCATGAATTTTGTACGAACCAGATCTGTTATAGAAAATTCTGAAATTACGATATATGTATGGCAAGGGGAATATGCAAGAATAAAAGAATTCTGTATGTTTGATTTCGAATAAATCGCGAAAACATTTTAAACCATGCTTTTTAGTGCAGAGTGCACTATTGGGATGGTTTAGGGGGCTGCTGTTCGGTCAGGCACTAACTTACTAAGGTACTAACACAATAAGGTGTAAACTTTAATGTTTGTTTAATTAATTAATTTCAATTAATTAATTAGCATTGTGGTTAGGGGGTGGGGTAGGTACCTCTGTTTACCACGTAAAACGTGTCTGACTTACGTTAATTTTGTCTGTCTCTCTCTGTGTCACGCAACGCTACCGTTGCGTTGCTCGACAGAGAGAGGGCCAGAACTAGACTATTTTGACCGGGGATAGCAGCTGTGTTTCAGGTAACGTCAGTTCTCCTTTTTACTGAAGAATGCACTATTGTACGTTGGCCCATAGGGGACAGAACTTCAAATTAAAAAATGAACAAACTTGTGGAAATTAAAGCAATTAATTTCAAAGAAAGTGCTGTAAATAAGATATTTTATTGCATACAAAATACTTTACACTAAGAAGAAAAGAAACATCTCGCACACTATATACAAAATATATTTTTGGACTGCGATGGACAAAAAAAATGGACTGCAAAGAAAAAGTGCACGCTGCAAACAAAAGAAATGTTTGCACTGCAAATAAAACAAAATTCTGCACTGCAAACAAAGTAAATGTATGCACTTCAAGTAAAACACTTGCCCGCTGCAAAGAAAATAAATAGATAAATAGATAAATAATAAATGGCCTACTATACACAGAATATTGTTCCAGTGCAAACAAAAAAGTTTTGCACACTGCGAGTGACATAAAAAAAACCCAGGACACACTGCAAAAAAAAATATACTGCTCACTGCGAATAAAAAGTCCTGCTCACAAACAAAAATATGAATGTACGTGTGCGTAAGTAGACATGAGGCCTGGGACCAAGTCCTTTCCCGCCATATTTCAATTTTATCAACATGGCATCCAGTGAGAACGATTTGAGCGACGTAGAAGCTGAAATTGAACATAAAGATTTGCCGCGGGGATCAGAAAGAGAGCTTATTGAATATTATTTCAACAGAGGCCTTACGTACAGATATATAACGCTGATGTTAGGAAAGCATCATGGTATAGATATAAATGAACGAACATTGAAATGAAGGCTCAAAGACTATGGTCTGAGAAAACGGGATACGGTGAATGATGATCTTGTTGAACGCGTAAGGGATTTGATTTAGCTTGAAATTTGTACTGATCCAGACAGCCTCAGTGGCTATAGAACCATGTGGCATGTGCTGCGCCTGAGACATAACATTCATGTTCCCCAACGGTTGGTTGAATCACTTTTGAGAGAAGTTGATCCCCGTGGAGTGGAACTGAGAAAACGTAGGTGCCTTCACCGGAGAACTTACGTGTCACCAGGAGCTAATTTTTGTTGGCACTTAGATGGATATGACAAACTTAAGCCATTTGGCTTTTCTATTCATGGCTGCATAGATGGCTTTAGCCCGAGAATTCTATGGCTAGAAGTTCAAAGGTCGAACAAGAATCCGCGGCTGATGGCAAGATATTTCATGGATAATGTGAGAGCAGCACATGGATGTCCAGCACGTGTATACACTGATCGTAGAACTGAAAACAGACTGATTGCTGCAATGCAGTGCTACTTACGCGCAGGAGGAGTTGACGAATGTGCGGGTTCTAGAGCTCACAAATACGTAAAAAGCGTCAGGAACCAAAGAATTGAAGGTTACTGGTCACACTACAGAAGACAGCGGGCAAGTTGGTGGATTGATTTCTTCAACGACTTGCAGGAATCTGACCTCCACGACCTCACTAGTCAGATACACAGAGAAGCACTTTGGTATTCCTTTGCAGATGTCTTGCAGGATGATCTTGATAAAGTAAAGGATTACTGGAATTCTCATCGCATCAGGAAGTCGAAGCATGCTACCGTGTCAGGTGTGCCTGATATGATGTACTTTCTGCCAGAAGAATTTGGGCGAATTGATTGCTTGTGTCCAGTTTCAGGCAAGCTAAGGGAAATGGAAGACACATTGCGAGAATTGGGTGCGGAGGATGACATTGACCCAATCTGGGAGGAGTACTTTCAGTATGTGATGGAAAGAAATGGTTTGTCACACCCCACATCTGTTCTGGAGGCAGGAAATCTATTTCAGAAACTTGTCCAGTTTGCAAAAGGTTGAGTAACTTTTCAGGAAACATGTGCATTAATGATGTAAGGATTTCAATTTCCAAAACAAACATAAATATTACAGTCAGTGCAACCTGTAGCTCTTCTGAGAACGCCAAGAAGTTTGCACGAAATGTTATTAAGATACAGGCGAATACCTTGAGGATTTTTTAATTACTACCGGTACTTGTTATCCTAACTAAACCACTTCACTGTTGATATTTCTTCATTTCACTACAGCCTTTGACACTTATAACTCCCATGACCATGTGGGGATAGACAATGCATGCCAGATATAGTGTATGTTGAACTTTCTAGGTGTTTCTTCCAAGTATCTTAGAGTAATTAGCAGACATACTGTATGTCTTCTCCATAACATGCCAATACAAAGTCAAGCATGTGGCCCCTGAAATCAAGTATTTATCTCTTAGATAACACGGACAGGTGTGAAGATTGGAGAGGCAAGTTGATATTTTAAAGTTACAGATGAAAGAGACCTTTTTTATATCGGGATTCTGTGACGCAACTTTTTCGTAGGTTCTAGCGCCTTCTTTATCGACAAATTTAAAGAAGTTCCAGTGTATCAATGCTAATGAAACTTTGGAATAAAATTGTTAACATTATCAGGCATACATGGTTAACGTTTTAAAACAAATCTATCGAGCCGTTTTTAAGATTTTCGAAAAAGCGCTTAAAATCGGAAATTGTTCAAAATATATTATGGAAGTGACGTTGAGAAAAAGTCTCGTTCTCAAGATCAAGAAAACACAAACCAACAAAACTTTCATGGCTTCAAAAGATAACTTAGACACATTTTGATGTCTTGGAGCAATTTCATTAAAATAGTGTCCTTCCTCCTTCCTTCAGTCCATTTAATTTCATTAAACAAAAAGCATGGTTTGAAATATTTTTGCGATTTATTCGAAACCAAACATACAGAATTCTTTTATTCTTGCATATTCCCCTTGCCATACATCGTAATTTCAGAAATTGGCATCAGATTTTTTATAACAGTTCTGGTTCGTACAAAATTCATGCTTTACCGATTTTCATATTTTTGGTTTATCGTTTCCATGGAAATATCGATAACCGTAAAAAAATACATTCAACCAAACTTCAATCTTNACGCTAGTAGATTTGTACTACATGAAAACTCGAAAGAAACACGGTACATGTTTTCTATTAGTAAAATGTTCACCTTATTTTACTCAGTATCACATACTACAAGTTATGGCAACTAAAATATATTATGATCACTCTATACCTGTCTGTCCGTAAGCAAAAATACAAGCATTATAGCCCTCAAACGCATTCAAAAGAACATCTGCTCCAAGACAGTTATAAACTTTCTCCTGACCTATAGGGTAGAAGCAAAACAAAAATAAATTATTTATATGCAAAAGCAGTTGTCAACCAACAGCTGTTATTCACAACTACTTCACAAATGAACATGATTACATTTTAAAAAATCAGCCAGTTACAAAGTTATATATTTTTTTGATATGACAAACAGTACATGTATTTCACAAGGCATTAAGTTCTTTGACAGGTCTTTTATTCAG